AAATTTGTGGTTAGTTCTGGGTGCATGTTCTATGTGCGTCGATCACCGACTCATTTGCTCTTGTCATCCATATATAAAGTCACACACCCCAAGGCTCGATAGACAATAAAACCAGGTGAATACATATGAAACTGAAAAGCACAAGGGGTTTGAGAATTTTGCAACTCTTATTGTTAGGATTTCACTTGGGTTTGATTGCTTCCACGTGGAAAGAGATTCAGTGATTGCATCAACCTGGAACGCAACTAGTACATAAATTTTCTTAAAAGAAAACAGTAAGGTAGCAGGCATGTAGCCATATATACCATCACTGGTCCAATGAATTTTCTTTTCTCTGCTCAATTGGAAAGGCTAATGAGTTCCGGCAATTATTGTTGCATGTAGTTTCGTGTTCAAAAAACTCTCAGTCTAGTAGCTCTCTCATTTATTGCAACAAATGCATCTGCCTGCCCTCTTATCCAGGTAATCTTGCTGAGAAGCAATAATTAAAATAGCACGCTTGCATTGATCAAAATCAGGATCGAGACTACTCAAAACCTGCTTCTGAAACGAACTGTACAAGTGGGAAAACGCCTCGGTTTTATTGCATTCTCCCCACGTATGACGCGACGTCACGGTTAGATTGTAATCAAGTTGCTCGAATCAAAATACTACTTGTATCACTAGAACAAAAGTGCCCGGTCTCGTATGTTATATTGATCCACGCACGTACACCCGATTTGTGACGTAAAAGGGACTTATCATAGCAAGATGAAGTCATTAAACATTTTAGTGTGTGATAATGGCTTGAGCTAATGCTTTGACATTTTTGCTACAGTTCTTTTGAGATAATGATAATGGTTTAGAACTTTTTTTTTTTTTGATAAAAGACCATTTTATTCAATAAATTTGCACTAATGGTAAAAATATATCAAATCAAACGCGATACAGATATATACAGACCTGAAATCAATACTGAATACAAGACAAAAATAAAGCTAAACTCTTAACACATTTTTCAATCAAATGAATCATTGCAATTCCATAGACCTGTGCATGTCTTCCAACAATCAGACATAATTAAAAGCAGGGCCAAGCCAAAAGAGAAATTTAGATCTAATACTAATGAACAGAGAAATTGTAGATTTGAAAAACTAGATGTATAAAATTTCAAATTTCATACAAAGATATAAAAACTAAACAAAACTTTCATGAAGAAAAACGCTCAGAACTCTCACTAGAACACTCTAGAGAGAGAAGAAACTCTCATAGGGAGATTCTAGAAAGGAAGAGTCTCTCATTAGAAAATCCTATGAAAGAATTTACTCCTATAAGTAAAAATCATATTTGTCTAGTCTCTCTCCCATGAGAGAGAGAGAGAGAGAGAGAGAAGAGAGAGAGCTTTTGACTGAAGGAGTTCTAAGAGGAGGAGGAGAAAATAAGGTTTAAAAGATCTAAAGAGAAGGGCTTTGTCATTTATGCGAGAAATTTAGGATATGCAATGACAAAGATAGATTAAGGTCGATTGCATCTAGGTTTAGTTAACTCGATCCTATATATGTAGCTCCTATATAGTTCCAGGTTCAGCAGCTGACCTTCCATACACATGGTGAGTTTATCCAGCAATTCATCTGTTCTTCTTCGCCATGACTACTACATATGGATATGGTGTCTCGTCTGGTATCTTTTTACGCCAGAGAATTTTGAGTTCTGGTCATATTCACGTTACAACAAACAATGCCTAAGCATATATTCATGTCATTAGATCCGAATCCGATACGACTATTATGCATTTATTTCTTAAATCATAACGGGGATTATTTCTCGAGAAACCAAATACTAATAGGTATCTAAATTTTGGACATACTGTTAATGGAGTGGTTGCATTGCACGACCGAAAATTAAATAGTACTTCATTTACCCAATAAAATTAAAATTTGTTTTATTACGAAAACTGAGGGACTTGAACCAATGTTATTAAATTCGGACCGGATAACGACTCGGCTAACCTATTGGATCAAAGGTTAATTTGACAGATTGGTCGGATCATTCTTAAAAATTCACTGACATCAATATGATATCATAATTACTTTATATTTTTATAAGTTTCAGAAATATTGAAATTAAGTTTTTGGTTATATTCTGCTAATCATAGAAAATGTTCCAAAAATATTAGACTTGCAATCATATATACACCTAATAATTATATATAAAAATGTAAATTTATGACTACTACTTGAAAAACTAAATTAAAATAAATTAATACAAGTTGAAATCACTGATACTAAATTGATAAGGTCATAAGGATGAAAACATCTTGATTTAGAGATCATTCAGAAAAGTGACTGATTTTGGTACGTATTTACACTAAGTTGGTGGTGTTTTCTTATTCCTATTAATATATGAATGTGTTACATTTTAGGTAACTCAAATTATGTTTGGGGAAAAGAAGAAAGAAAAGTTTGAGAATCGGGTCAATCAGTCGAAATCGGGTCACTGGTTTAGCCAATTTTGAATGGTTCTGACTGATTTTTTATCAAAATGATTTTGTGTTACAAATCAGCTCGAGATGAAGGCTAGTTCACGGTTAAACTGCTCGAACTGGTAGATTCGGTCCGGGTCTAACAACATGACTTGAACCGGAGGACCATACTAGCCACTTCTTTCTCTACAAGAAATCCAAAATAGCAAGTAATTTTGTTGATTTGGCAGGCGATATTAGAGATTCTTAGGCATTCTTTTACTTCACACCTATCTTTTTATTACCACGTGCTAAGATAAACTTAGTACTTATAACTTTGACGACATCAACCATTTTTGACAAAAAGTAAATCAAGGAGCATCCAATTTTTTTCCTTTCTCTTATTTTCGTTATAACCTCACATTATCTTCTTGGATGACAAATAACATTATTTTATGCGGTTTAGAAAATGAAATATTTGAAAATTAATCTACAATCATGTGCAATAGGACAACATGAAGGCCATTTGTGTAGCACAACTCAACTACAGGAGTAGATTTTTGCAAAAAGATATGTAATACTTATATAAACCTACTAATAAAGTATGGATTTTTTTTTAACGGGCAATATTTTATATTTTAATTTTTTAAATGATCAATATGTTCCTCACTTTTTCCCTTGATGATTCAAACTTTGACCTTTCGATTTTAAGTAAAACATCTTACAATCTAGATCGGGTTTCATGATTCTACTTACTATTTTATATATACAAATTCATGTAATGGATAATCGAGGGTATTGGTGACTTATTAAGTATGGATTTTTTTAACAGAGAATCTAGAGTACCTGCTGATACTTAATAGGAATAATTTCACAAACCTTCCTTGAGGTTTTTGACAATTTCACTCGGCTCCCCTCAGGTTTTATAAATTACACTGACCTCCCTTGTCACAATAAAATGACTATAATGACATTCAATTAATAAATAATTCAACAGTACAATGAAATGAGATTAAAAAAAGAAAAGAAACCTAACTTTTTCGTTTATCTTGTTTACAAATTGCGACCAACGTCCATTTGCTCTCACTTACCGTCACTTCGTTCTCATCCATCAACCCCTTTCTCCTACAATTCACTCTCAAATTATCACTAACTATTGCTTATAATTGCAGTCAATCACACCACAAGTGATCCGTTAAACTCTACTATATATTCCTATTTCTCCTTTTTTCTCTTTGGAATTGTCAAATCATAAGTTTAGTTGAGCGATTAGATTTGATGGTTGAAGTAAAATTTAATTACATAGTCAATCTAAAAAGGAAATGAAGAGTCACACAATAATAATGGAACAAATAATGCAATCATTGGCCAAAAGACGAAGAGGGGCTAAAATTAGTAAATTTGATAATTTGTTTATCATTTATCCAAAAAATTTTTTAAGATGTTAATAAGTACATTTATATTTCTTTTTATGCTTGACAATTGTTGGTTATGGTTTTGCTATGGAGATAGAGTTGCTTCTCTATATTTAACATGATAACATATTTGGAGATTTAATGGTAGGTTAGATTATTTTGTTTTGAAAAGGTGTAGGCATTGGGTTTGAAGTTTGGGGTGTGATTAGTTGTAAATAGAATTTTGATTTTTGGCAAAATGAATTTCTTGAAGATCTCTATAGTCATAATGATGATGTCTTTCCTTCTCTTAAATTTGATTAATCTCATCCATGCCTAAATCTCGCCTGAGGATTTTCTTCAAGGCCATAATGTGGCTCATTTAATAGGAGTTAAACCACTTATATGGAATCAAATCATGGCGTTCTGTGTTGGAAGATTATGCAACCATAAGGACAGTTGATTGTGAATTTGACTATTCCATGGAACCATATAGTGAGAATATTTTTGAAGAATGGAACGAATCTTCAAGATTGAATGCATGCTTTGGGAGAAACAATTTTATGACTATGATAATAGAACGAATGCATGCTATGATAATAGATTGAATGCATGCTTCGGAACGAATCTTCAAGATTGAATGCATGCTTTGGTTGCTTGGGTTTAGAATTTCAAATTAGACTATTTATTAGGTTAGTTTGTTAATATAGTGAGTTTGGTTAAAATATGGAAGAAAGCAATTGGCAAAATAAATTTTGTTTTATTTTTGTACAAAAAGGGTAGTTTAGGATATTGTTATATAAGTAAAAGTAAGGGAGGTAGATATAATTTAATAAACTTGAGGGGAGATCTCTGCAATTGTGAGAAACCTCTGATCTAATATACACAACTTACTATTTTATATATACAACTTTACATACTTTTTTTTTTTGTTTATTCGTACGTTTAGTCACTTTTCTGATCTAATTTTGATTAAGGAAAAACTCTTAAGCCTCAATTAAGTAGTACCAGCAACCTTAAGTAAAAAATTTTTAAAAAAATTGAAAAGATTAGTCTTACGGCAAAAGTAAAAATGGGCAAGTTGGCATGAGGAAGAAAGAAATCATTGCAGCCTTTCACGTACTTGTTTAGAATCTTGTTAGATCTGTTCAAAAGAAGAGTGGGACACAAAAAAAAAGGGGGTACAAGTAGGGGAATTAAAGCTGCAAAAGTGGTCACCATTTCCATTCGAAGACTCGTAGTCTAGTACCAGTACAATTTCCTTGTAGGAACATATTATTGAAGACTATAGCAGCTTCATTCCTTTCGGACCGCTGTAGCAGAAATAGAGAGTGAGAGCCAGAGAGCAAAATTATTTATTGATTAGTACAAAGAGTAAGAGATCAACCAGAGAGAGAGAGAGAGAGAGAGATGGAGATCAATAAAAGAATGTGCAATGGCCTCGTCGTTGTCGTCCTAATTGCTGTTATTTTCACCGTCTTTATGCCTGCTGCTGCTGAGGGTCATGTTCATCATAGCTTCCCTCCAGCCCCGGCTCCTGCTCCCACCAGTGACGGTAAAATTTTTTTTACTGTCATTTGTGTACCATTTTGTTTGGCTTGTTCAATAGTGCGGATTTTATTTTGTTTTCTTTTTCTTGTTCTGGATCTTAGAAAAAGTGGGATTGCTGTTCATGGTTGGCCGGAAATTCTTTGATGGCCATGGTTTATGGTGAAAATGGCATTACCTTGTTTCCTTTGGAGGAGGGATCTGGGATCTTCTCTTCTTCTTGTGCGTAGAGTGCCTATAGTTTTGTTGCAGCAGCTATTTGCTAAACATGACAATAATGTCATCTTTGGAGTTTTGAGATTGACAAACTGTAATTGATATTTTCAACTGACCTTTTGACTAATTTTTACTGTAAAATACTTAAATCACTATGAGTTTTGGTTGACTGAAGTGATACAATGAAAAGCAATCGCCGGGCAGTTTACTTGATTATTGAGTAATCAAGTTATGCACCGACCGAGTTTCAAGACAATAATTAGTTAATTGATTTCCAAAAAAAAAAAAAAAAAAAGGAGCATATGATACATTGCAGAAGTCATCCTCTGAAACAAAATCAACTATACAATTTACTTGCCCTGACTTTTAATGACAATGACGACACAGGATCTTTTCGCATTTTTATTTTTTCTGGTTCCTATTTACTTCATGGATATTTGCTACGTAGAAGATGTAAATCCGTGGTTTAAGACACAATTCCTAGCATGATACAGTTATTCCTACCTAAATCGTTACTTTTTCAGGCTTGCCTGCTAGTAAGCATATCACTGAAAGCTTCCTAAAAGTTTGATTTTGTATTCATATTTCAGGGACAACTATTGACCAGGGGATTGCTTACGTCTTGATGTTGTTGGCTCTGGTGCTTACATATCTCATCCACACCCTGGAAGTTCCCCTCAACTTCCAGGTTATTTGATTATAAATCCATCCGACTATTGCCCAGGAGAGAGTTATAGGCTAAGAGTGAATTGAAATGCACAAGTAAATTGTTAGAAAGACTTTCACGAATGCTTATGTAATGTCGTCCTGGGACATACATTAAGCATCTTACTATGGGATTCTTTCGAGTAATTGTTGCATTAAACTGCTATTTACTAGAACAGGTTTTGGTTCATCTTCCCAACTTGCTTCCTATTTGACTGGATCCAATTCTATGTGCTCATCTCCAAACTATATTTCTGTATTTCTTCGTCAAAGGTGAATTATCAAGATCTTTTAATCAACCTAAGAAAGAGGTTGTATACTGAGGCTTTCTGCTGCAATCCTATGCAAGTATGGGTAGTGTATCCTTTCATCGCAGTCTGAGATTGCAAGAGCTCAGTGGAGGCTCAAAATGGATTAGATTAGTGTCATATGCAATGAGCTTAAACAGGGGCCGCAGCTTTGCTCCCCCATTGTCACCTGATCTACCGCGCTCTGAGCAATTCTGTGCTATATGCTTGCCATCATGAAAGAGGAGGCAGGGACATTACTTCGGAGGCTAGCCTCGGAGAATTCCGATGAAACAAAACTAAGCTGCATAAGCAATATTCTGAGGTAACCTGATCCTCTTTACACCAGCTACACAAGTTTGTTTGGATAGAGGAATTATTTGTTAAAATTTATTTGCTTACATCATTATTACAATTTCCAACACACCTTTTTATCTTTCCAATTACCTTTTTATCTAACATACATCACATCACAAAAAGTGCTGCAGTAAAAATATCTCAAATAATTTATAATCCAAACAGAGCAACGTTGCACAGAATTCATAAATTTGTTGCAGAGTAAGGTTGTGTTTGGATTGCATTTTCCGTCATTTTTCATGAAAAAATTACTGTAGCGATTTGATATATGTGAGGGAAAAAGGTGATAGGGAAATGTGATCACGGAAAACGATAATATTTTCCGACGAAAACCTTCAATCCAAGCAAGGCCTAAGTGTTCAAAGAATCTGTTGGGTATCGCCAGTTTGGTAACTTGACTTTCTGGCAAGTACACCACCATTAGTTTGATGGCTAGAATAGACCTTCATTTCCAGTAAATTTGAAGCACCAACCCTATTGTCAACTATACTACGTATCCTACTGTGTTCAAGGATAACAATTATTTTTAAACGAAGAATTGTGATTGTGCAATTTCAACTTTCTGGAGCGTTCCAAAGGTTCTTATCAAATGCTTTGAATGATCATAGAGACAACATCAACTTGTAAATCGAAGGTGCAGAAGAACAAGTCCTACCTGGCCTTCAAAAGGAGCTCTTTAAATTGAAAATGACATGAAAGGAAGAGTTTCTGATGTTTCAGTATGAAATACAGGATAAGATCATCATTAAGCAGAAAACCTTGGCCCTCTTGATTATGCAATGTGCAATCATCTTTCATTGTCTAGCCTCAATCACTGTTAGCTGAAAAAATGGTGCAACAACCTGGTCAAGTTTAATACAAGTCTAGCAATCACAAGTGATTAATGTTTCTTCTCGCTACTCGCATCAACACTTCCTTGGTTTTCTTCGGCCAATGAGAATTTCTTCACTCTCTGGCAAGAAAAATAGGGTATGAGTATGGCCCATAACAAATCCAAGCAATACTGCACATTATGTATGAAATAGAGCAAACTCTCAGTCTTAGATAACAGTAGTGTTTATTAGCATCCCAAAATCAGTGGAAACCTTTTTTTTTTTTTTTTTTTTCAGATACAACAGCGGAAAAGATTTTGGGAAAACCACACTAACCTAGCAAGACATAATGAATCAGAGAAATACCAAAAAGATACTATCTCCTCAACATTCTCTATTCCAACTGAGTTATTGATTACTTCAGAGGTATCATGCCAATAACTAAGAGAAGCAAGCAAGACAGGAGGAAAGATAATGCTAAAATTCGTTGAATTCAATACAAAACCGCTTTACTTAACATGGGAGAAGCTACAAATTCAAGTATCAAGTATCTGTTATGCTACATGCAAAGCAAGGAGGCAAAACTGTCAGCTATTATTACATGAAGAAGAAATAGTTGGAACGAGCTTTAACACATAACCAACAACTTGAGGACAATTTGATGCAAGAACTTCGAAGTTTTTACACAATCACAAAGGACTGTTTTACTGACTGTAGTCAATTATATCCACTACAACAAACAAGACGCGTCTCTCCTCATCACCTTACAATTGGTCATCAAGATATTTCCTCCTCTACTAGCAAAACAATCGATGTACTCCTACAGCATAATGCTAAATAAGGACCATTCACTGTAAATTAGGAAAGAAAAGAAAGTGAGGCAACAAGTCAGCGAGTCGTTGTATTCCTCACTAGAAGTTCTAATGATTGTTCTACTCTATTTCCATTCCAAATTGGGTTATCAACACTCTTTTTAGATTTTTACAGCTCTGATCAGCTCATGAACACATTTCCCTTGGCATCGCAATGACTGAACCAACATTGCCTGAACAAAGGGAATCATGGTTGCATGATTCTATAAATGGACTTTGATGGATATTGAAATCGTCCATAGTCTCACGCAATTGGGTCGGATAAGGTACTTCAACATGAAGATACCGTCAAAGGTCCTTCATTTATTATTTCGATGCAGCAATAATTGGTAAAAAGGAAAATGATCAAACACAAGCAACTTTCAAGCCTTTAATCTCCAACCCTTATCATTACCTTTCCTCATCTATTTCAATTTTAATTAATCATAATCGTAATCATTAACGCAAACCAGTTGATTTCCCAATCCGCTTCAGCAACTTAATTTGTCAATTTAACAAGCACAATATGTACAACCAAATCCAGTACTCCGCAAAACAAGTAGGAGTATCAAATCATACATCATAGTAAAACATAAACAGACAAACAGATAATGAGCACCTTGTCGACGACGCATTGGCGCAACGACTGAAGGAGACGGAGGCACTTCTCTTGATCGTAAGGGGTTTCGGTGACGCAGTTGAGCAAATTCAGTGCCTCCTGCCCGCATATTGCTTGGCCTTTCCGAGCTGAATCCATCTTCCCCTGTTTCTTCTGATTTTGGGGGTTCTAGAGAAAGCAGGAGGGTTTTAGAGAAGGGGCTGTTTGGTCGTTTTCCTGGCTCTGGGAAATTGAAAGAGAACCAGAGTCCAGACAGCGGCCCCCGCGCACACTGTTTTAAGTTTTACCCGACATATAAATTTCTTCCTCCTCAAGAATGTTATGCAAGAATTGTTCAGACGGCCACCACCACCAAAAAAAAATAATAATAAAAATCTGTTTGGAAGTAATTATTAAATTTGAAAACAAGGGAAAAAAAAAGTCTAATCATCGCGTTATTTTATTTCTTACTCAAATCCGATGCCTCTCTTGTTCAGTTCGATTGATGTAATTCTTATAATATTTTAGTGTAAATTTGTACAACTATGATGTATTCATGAAAATTGTTTACTTATCTTAAATATATAAAAGGGGGAACGCCCATTTGCTACAGTACAATCATGGGTCGGTTTCGATGGTAGTTCTGCTGATTTCGTGGGGTGTCTTGGTTTTTCCATCAACAAAATCCTCCCAATCACACAAACACCATGAGCGGGTTTCGATGGTAATTCTGCTGATTTCGAGGGGTGTCTTGGTCTTTCCATCAACAAAATCCACCCAATCACACAACAAAATCCATCACCCCAACACAGGCTGGCGCAGGGCCCAAAAACTAGTATAATTAAATAATGTAAACTTTACAATTACACTAAAATTGTGTAAATTTATATCAAATATTATTTTAAGAATGATAACAAGTGCACGGAATTGGACAAAACTCAACTGGTGGGGTTGCATTTCCTTCTTAAAAGTGGTGGGTTAGACTGCATACCGTCCGAATGTACATATATTGGCACGTGTGATTTTGCGCATATATATATTTGGTTGCCTGTCATGATATCCAGAGTTTTGCCTTGACTAATCCGTTGCGCATATATAGAATATCCTTTTGTAGGAGAAAGGATAGATCATCTTTTGGAGGAGAAAGGACATCAAAAGACATACAAAAAGATGCTCCTTTTTATTTCTTAAGTGACTAAACAATAGCAAATTTTTTGTCAATGGTCTTTGCACATAATACCACCCATCTAATTTTAAAACAATTCAATTTCCATGTAGCTAGGTTTAGTTTTGTGGATAGGGATATAAACTAGTCTAATCAAGTTGAATATTCTAATATTTAAGCTTGTTTGATTATTTTAATAAGTTTGAAATTTTATTCAAGTTTGATTTTTTTTTTGTTTTGCAGAATCGAATTCGAATGAGCTTTCATCAAGTCGAGCTCAAGTAGTTTGAATTTTTACATATCAAATCCAATTTTATAGGAATAGAATTAAACTCGAGTTAAGTTTAAAAGTTTATTGACTATAAAATGTTGTTCAAGTTTGATTTAACTAACTGATGAACCAAACTCGAATGATATTTTATTGAATCGAGTTCAATTCGAATATCGAATAGTTTAGTTTATGTTTTGGCCCCTTTTTGAACCATTGACCCTGGGTTCAACGTGGATTTGCAAAATTTTGGATCGAGAGTTTAACTTCTCCTATGGCATGCGTACACTAGTGGCTCAAGATTCTAGCAACACGAGGATAATTGTAATCGTTGCCCCGAAAGGGGTAAGGCCTATAATCTACTTTAGCTGCAGTTCCTTGATCACGGGCTTCAGTAGAAGACTTGGATACAGAAAGCCAAAACGGCCCAAACATCAAAAGGATTCCCCGTAGTTGCATGCAGAAGCGCAAAACCAAGGGCAACAAAACGAAAGTTGGGCTGGAAAAGTGACTGAGCCGACCGAAAAGCAGGCCTGCCGTAAGCTGCACTGGTCCAACTTTCCCAGGTGTCGCCAAGAAGTATGGGCCTGTTTGGAACCTGGGTTTTTTGAGAGTTTGTCTAAAACTTTACTGTAGTGCACTGTAGAAGTTTTTGAAAAAATTTTGTAAAAGTTTTTATAAGGTGAAAAATTTTTTGTAGAAGTTTTTATAAGATAAAAAATTTTGTTAAAGTTTTTGTAAGGTGAATTTTTTTTCCTTTTCTTTTTTTTCTTTCTTTCTTTTTTTCTTTCTCTTTATTTTTCTTTTCTTTCCTCTCTTTTTTCTTCTTCTTCTTCCTTCCCCTTCCGCGCCAC